GAGCTGGAAGATGAGAACTGGCGACTTTGTAGTACAACTTTAGTACGTGGAGCAATCTGTGGAGCTGGAAGCTGAGAACTAGCGACATTCTAGTACAACTTTAGTCCGCGGATGAGTCATCTCTCGCGGCTGAGTCATCTCTCGCGGCTGCTCTGGCGCCCCTGCAGCTGAGTCATGTCTCCCGACCACCCGGCTCTCGAGAGGTTGACAGAGACTCATACACACACAGACATAGATACACACACACAGAGACCCACACACTGCCTCAACTCACTCGACTTAACACTTCACACTGAACACTTAACAGATAACTCACACTCTGACTTACTATGTGATGAAACATGCTTTCGGCGGAACCTGCTCCAGCCAATTCCTCCCGGGCGAAGGGCACCCGAAATGGTCAAAAACATCGGTGAGGTGCTCAGCAGTGTGGAAGGGGTGATGTGCCGGAGGTCTTTTGAGCAATTTGAGGCACCTGTCACACCTGTTTGTTTTGCCCAGTGTGTTGGAACATGTTTAGTTTGCAGGAGGCATGGCAACTTAGTTATATAACTTTTTGGGTTGGATTGTGGCGGACTCTGTGGTCCTTCCTTGTTTTGTTGCAAGAAGTCAGTTGGGGACGTAGTTTGTGGTTGCTCAGGGAGTGAGCTAGGCTTTTGGACGCAAAATTGTTTGTGTCCGCTGATGATCAGATACGTAAAACCTGAATCAGCGGAGGTTGTCCCATTATTATCGCTGTTACAGAGTGCAGGAACTGAGAAAAGGTTCATAAAGATTCTAGCAATTCCCGACAAATGAACCGAACAAACTGATATGAAAATGTTGTTTTCGTTTCTGACCATCTACGCTGACAGGGCGGGTTGGGAACAGTGCTACGCCCAAAAACCCGGACCAACTGTGTTGTTAAAAATGACTTGCCTTCTTGGAGGTTCAATCGTGGGGGGGAAGTGACTGCAGCACAGGAAATTGTAGAAGCTTTTGAGGAAGAGGGATGATTAAGTTTAATGAGGTGACCCAGATCCAGGTGACCTCCTTCTGAAAGACTCTGAGGTGAGTTTTTCACAGATGTCACCGATGTCATCCAGGGTGACGACGAAAAAGTTGACGGACTCACGTGGCGTTTGTGGAATGCGATTGAGCACCTTGCCGTGGTTTCAAGATGTTTCAAGCTTTGGTGCTTTTCATCAAACGATAAAGCAGGTTGGAAGTGCATCACACCATTTTGAGATATTTTGGGATTAAAGACTAGCTTTTGGTTTCGCAACCAGTTTGTGAGTCTATTTCTATTTTTGGATGCCATTCAGCGTACAACAAGCCGAGAACATGTCAAGGAACAAGGGAATATAACCCTGCTCTGTCTGAGGTGGTCCATGGCTGGCGCGTTGATTTTCTTGCTGTTGTCTCTGCTCTTGGCCTGGGGTCGACGTCAACAGAGGCACGCATGGCCAGCACGCAGTAGGGTGGTGGTAGTTTGCTTTGCGGCTTTGCGGTTGTTTCGAGTGCTGATGTAGGTCCTTCACGTGGGTACCGCCGCAGCCGCAGATGCTCAGTTGAAGACCAGCGCTGTTTGCTTCCATTTGCTTTCTTTTGCTTCCTTTTGCTTTCTTTGTTTGAAGTAGTTTTGGTCGCTGAGGACAGCGACGGAGGCGCTTTCCTTGGCAAACCATGTCACGTGATGCCTTTCTTGAACCTGGTGTTTTGTGGCCATTTTCGTTGGTGCCCTGTCAGGCCACAGGCAATGAGGAGACTCACGCGCTGGTTCGTTGCCACCCCGGCGATTCTCAAAGAGAAGGCAGCCTACCATCGCAAGTTGCAACCTGTCCACCTGCAGCTGGTGTCGTGAAGGCGATGTTGATCTCCGTCGCTCTGCTGCACATGGATTTGCCGCAGTCTTTTCCGACGGCTGCAGGCTTAATTTCTGCAAAATGACGAACTTGTAAGGTGCTGTCGTACCTTTTGCTGGGAACTTCGTGCTTCGTTGCCTGCTTCAGCTGCATGATCGCCTTCCATGTCTTGATGGAAGAACAGGACCTGGCCGTGATTTTTCCGAAGATCGGCCAGGTCGGCGCGTTCTTTTTGAATATAGATGCAACAAATATTGGCAGTCCTTCTTATAAAAATAGTTTTCTTGTTTAATTTGCATGACCAAATTCGCCGATCGGTTGGCATTTTGCACCAGGAGGCCGGTGCAATCGGATTGATGACTTTTGCCCTTTGCACCTTTGTGGCTCTCAGTGGCTTTGGCATGGTGGCCGCTCTTCTGGCGACAACGCTCAAGCACTTGAGGTGCATTTTTCAATTTTTTACCTTATGCTTAAAGGATCTTAAAGGCTGCTTATATAAAGGCAGCTGATGGTTAGGATTCGTGAGGTGTACGTTCCATTTGCTGCAGATTCTTTTTTAAATCAATTTTGTGTTGGTCGAAGCAGGTAGACCAGTAGACCATTTTGCGGTGCCGGAGCCGATCGCAACGGATCGCAACGCAGGTGCCAGGAGCCAGACCTCACGGAGTTCACCGATGACAACGCCGTCCGCAATTGGCGGAACGACGCGTTGTCTTTGACTGAGGCTCCGGAAGTTTGGCGAACCAGTTCGGTTGAAATTGCTATAACATCCTACAACCAAATGAGGAAAATTGAGCAAACACATCAACAAGTCAGAAATAGTATGGACTGACAATTTCAGCACTCAAAATCTCAAAGTCCCGGTTGCAGAGCCAGAGTCCCAACATTGCAGGAGAAGATTCAGCATTGGTTGGCATGGGCGCAGGACACCAAAGCTAGTTGGCTCTCGTCCCCGTGCATGATGAAAGCAATTTTGGTGCTGGGCAGAGTGATGTTCCTGTGGGACATTGCTTCTGATGTGCTTGTGGGACTGCAGCTGTTGAAGTACCACGGATATTTGGCATGTTTGGTTTTCACGATCGCGGCTTTCCTGCAGAAGTGGCTGCGATCTTCGATCGGTTTTCCGTCGATTTTCCCTAAATACAAGCTCCAGACATGTTCCACCGAACCTCCCAGGTGGCTCTGCCTTATCTGGTTTTGCCCCTGCTGGTGGGCCGGTCGGGGGTGAAGGCAGTCCTGACGGCCTTGCGCCCGCAACTCTTGGATTTTCTGGGGCAGAGGATTCCCACCTTGGTGCTGGACGCCTGCATTTGTGTGTTCGCGATTCCGCTGATCGTCTGGATCTCAGTTTGAAGTCAGGGCTGAGTGAAATTCTATGCGTTTCTTGACGCAGATTCTGGTGGATGTCGACTTCATCATTCAGTTCTTATGGGAGGAGCCGACCAATCCAAGGCGGGGTGGGCCATGTCGCCCTGAAGACACCCACAGCTTCTGTGTCGGACGACCGGCGCTGCTTCCGTTGCGTTGCCAGGCTCTTCCACTACTGGACTCTGAGGCTCCTGGCGGAAGCTGCGGCCTCGAAGCTGCTCGAAGTCGGAAGTGCCTCTGTGACTGATGTGACCAAGGTCTTGTGGGAGAGCAACCTCCAAGTTCTACTCCAAGTGTACATTTTCCTCCGCCAGGACCGCTTATGATTTGCTTCTCTTGTTTTGATTTGGAATGCCATTATCTCAGACAACTTTCAGCTAAGAATCCTTCGTGATCTTCTTGTAGAACACTTTTCTTCAAGGAGAAGTTTTCTCGTAGACCAATTTCTTTCAGAAGCAATTTGTCATTTACTGTAATGACCCCCCGCACAGGTTAAACAACCTTTCTTGACTTGAAGTTCAACAGGAGAACGCCTTCGGCGTGCTGCCATCATTTCACCATACCTCAGTGAGCGCAACTTTGCTCACCGTCACTTGGCGCTAAGGAGATGTAATTCTATGATATTCTATGTAATTCTTATAGTCTTAGTTGTTGTGCCCAGTGGCAGGAGCATCACACCACAACGGTGCTTGAATGGCTCAGGTTAGCATCCTATCCAGCAGCTACAGCTCAATGGATGGTCTTTCCAAGCTAAAGAGCTGCTTGGTCTGCTTGGTTTTGTGTTGAAGTTTGAAAAACTTCAAGTCTTCCATAGGCGGCCAGGTGATGTTTAGACACGGCTAAGGCTTGGCAGATCTCCAGACTCAAGGAAGCCGTTGGGACTTCTTGGTGGCGATGGTGCACGGTGGAGCAGGTCTGGCGCCTTCGAACCTTGTACAGGCCAGGCAGATGAGACAGCAGAAACCGTGGAGAGACCGTGGAGAACTGAATTCATGAAATTGTTTTTGGAGCTCAGGAGCTCAGGGTTAAGGCCAAGGTCGAAATCCAAGAAGACTTATCGGTGGCGACCTCGGAAAAGACAAGATGTTCTGTGTATATCGTTTGATCTCGATTTTGTCGTCGATTTTGCGTATCAGGACCTTGATCTGGATGGATGGAGATCTATCTGCCTGGCTGCCCGGTATTCGAAGACGCTGCGCCACCTGAGCTTCAATGCCGCTTTCTGGGCAAAGTTTACTACTGCGCGGGCCTCAGGAGACCTTCGAGTGACTCCCAGCGACTCTTTCCTCGGGCCGAGGACCAGAAGAAGATCGAGGTCCGCAACGCTCTCCTGGAGATCTTCCACAACCCGCAGCTCCAAGAGCTGCAGATCGCCGAGCTGCCGGACGACTACGCGGAACATGTGAAGCTTATGAGGTCCAGTCACCCGTGGCTGACGGAGGGCGACTGGCAACAAGGGCTTCGCAAGTGGCCGCAAGTCCTGGCGGCGGTGAATGGCGACCTGGCGCCCTTGCAACGTGCTCCTGTGGACTGCGACTTGAAGATCCCTGGTTCCAACTTAGCTCCAAATTTAGTTTATTTATACCTGGTGATTGGAGGTCTACAAAATGAGAAGCCTTGACATTTATAAAATGCCGTTTCAGGAGTCATTATATAATAGGGGTAGGTACCTTTAGCAGAACTCAACAAAACATGGTCATGCCATTTTATAGAGCGTCATGAACAAGAAAACATTAAAACATATAACCTCGATGATTGATGATGGCACAGATGGATCAGCATTTTATAGAGACTTACGGGGGGTTCCTTTTGGGAAACTAAAAGAAAGAAAACCAAAAAAGAGCAAATTGAACTAAGATATACATAGTTTTTCTTTTTTGTGGTGTTTTTTCTTTATGACCTCTCCCCTTTTGCCTCGCTAAAACGGGGAAACCACAACGGGGGCGTACCGGTGGTCCTGAAAGGGCCGTGTCGTCGCATCTCGTTGCTCGAAGGTCCCCTTTATGAGCTCTGGACTTGGAGCCAAAGGGGTGAGAGGTCATAAAGAAAAAACAAAAAAACGAAAAAACAAAAGAAACAAATGTATATCTTATTTCTATATTTTTTAAATTTGTTTGAAAGAAAAGAAACAAAACAAATTCAAACAATCTTAGGATGGTCATTTTATAAGCACTTTTATAGTCAACACAACTTGTTTGTTGGAGCAAAACTTTTCTGGAAACTGCGTGGTTCCACACTTTCTTGTCCTGTTGCCTTCAACAGTCCGCAACTTTAGCCAATTCCAGGTCAAGTCGTGTCGTTCCTCTTTCACTGCTGTGTCTTCACTCGCCCCTTGTCTGTCACAATGGCTCGCGGTCGTGACGACCTGGCGGCACGGTTGCATGGCGGTGCCTCTCGTCGTCGGCGCCGTTCATGCAGCCGTGACTCTCGGGAGCCGCTTCGTCGCCGGACATCGGCTTCTCGTTCTCTTCCTCCTCATCAACCAACAGCTCCAGAGATCAGACAAGAAGTCCCTGCTCCAGAGACAGAGGCAAGTCCAGTTGACACATCTTGGTTCTTCGAGTTCCCTTCCACGGTCCCATACTCCATTGATGCAGCAGTTGCCAACCTGGTCCGTTGGGCTGGGGCTTATCACATTCAGCAAGGCTCTTGCCCACAGATCTTGACAGTCGTTGAGAGGTTGGTGTCTCTGGGAGTGACTTCTCCTGGGCGTCTTCTTGGCTTTTCCTCGGAGGAACTTGCCAATCTCTTTGGCCAGCCTTTGGGTCATCACCAGGACATTGCGGCAGACATCTTGCATACCACTTTGGCTCGTCGTCTTCTTGCACTAGCATGGCAATGCAACACCTACTACATGGCCAGTCTTCAAGTCTCTTCTTCTAGTGCTTCCGCTCCACACGCAGACCTTGCAGTGGAGCAAATGCGTGTCAATGCACAGCTTGCATCAGCCCTTGACAAATTTGCAAAAGGCAACAAGGCATCCAAGAACCCAATTCTCCGAGACCATGATTCTGATGATGATGACGAACTTGACAAGTTCGACTTGGCCTCTGCCCTCCACAAGGCATCCTTTACATTCCTTCCGACTGACTGGTTTCCTTCCAGCCAGCTCTTGTCGAAGTTGCAGAAGTTGATGAGCAAGGCCCGGGAAGCTCGCAAACATCAAGGCCATCCATTCATCGCAGACACGCCATTGGAATCTTGGGTGCCCTTGTGGGTCGGTCATGGTGAGTCACCCTCTTCTCGAGAAGCTTTGGTGAAGCAATGGCGGAAGACGGAATCTTTGGACACATCCAGGTTTCTTAGCCTGGTGTCTAATTTTTGGCTTGCACATGCGGTGGT